TGACAAAAAAAAGATATAAAGTTAATACTAAACGTTATATAAGAATTTAAAGAAAATTATGGTGATAGATTTGAAGATATTAGGCCATCTTTATCCATGAACTTTTGAGGGTATCATTAAATATAAAATTATGAAAAACACATTCTCTCTTCCTTTTACTTAACTTTATACCTTCTCTTTTATCCTTTTATTCAATTTTTATTAATTTTATATTCTTTTTAAATATAAAATTATTAAAAACACGCTCTTTCTCTCTTCAAAAGTATTATTTTGAAGATATTAGTATTATTTTGGTTTACTTCTACGGCTCGTTTTGTAAACACTTTGATACATCTTTTATAAGTTAAAAAAAAAAAAAAATTAATAAGCCTTTTTTGTTGTTGGGACATAACATTGCAAATAGAAAGTTTAAAAAAAAAAAAAAACATTGCAAATAGTTTAGTGTGGGATTTGAAAAACAAAGAGAGGGGGATAGTATTAGAGATAACTTTTTGGGAAACTAAAAAGGGATAAAATAAAAATAAACGCGATAATTATATTTTTGTCCATATGCCAATAGCATAAATATATGCATTAATATTTTCTGCAATAAAGTGATGGGCAGTCTAATCACATCAAAATCAGTAATGCCCTTAATAATTTCAAGGTCTGAATTTTTTTTTGTCAACTTTTCAGAGTTATTTTCTACTAAATAATTAAGTACAAATAAAACAAAAAAACATCGGTCATGAGATAAAACAAAGTTTAATAACATTAAATACGTTTAGATAATACTTTGCAAAAGGTTGAAGAAGAAACGTATGACGTGATCATTTCTTAGCCCATTACCGTCCGATTACTGCTGACGTTAGATCTACGGTGTCTGAATATTATATTATTATTTTTGATATCGTATACAATCTCTTATTTTAATGACTAATCTCTTAAATTAGTCGAGGGTCAAATTGTCTTGTCAACACGAAATTGTATGATGAATTTGCATAATATATTTATTATTTTGGGTAGAATTGCTTTTCTTGTTTGGTGGTTTAGTAATTTCATAAAGATTAGCATTTGTTGTTTTTATTTTCTTAAAGGTCAATGCATGAAAGAAGAATCCGAGAAAAATATCATTATAGAAACAATTAACTAAATCGAAGAACGCACATGTGTGCTTATAACCATGTTAAAACCAAATTTGATCCTGATT